GTCATTGTTAGAAAAACTATTTCAATCTTTCAGTCTTTTAATCAGTTTATTAAGTTTTTTATTTCTCGTTAAAACCATAATAGTTTGCATTTTCATTTACTTGGATCACCAAGATCATACAAATAAAAAAATTATGAAATTAGTATTTTGTATATAAATGAAAGGATATAGAAACAGAATAACGAAATATAATATACAAATAAAATATAATATAGTATAAATAAAACAAGTAAACACCAAAGGTATAATTAATTTGTTATATTTAATTCGTCGTAAAAAACATTGAAATACTTGATGTGTTTGATACATTCGAAACGTATTAATATCTATAATTGAAATTTTAATGTATAGAAAAAATAGATTTTCAAAAAAAAAGAAAAAATACTTTCATCTATTCTTAATGTATGGGTTATATTTTTTAAATTCTAAAATGAAAAAATTAAAACTTTTGTACTCTAAAAATAAAAAAATCATTTGAAATGTATTATTATAATCTAAGTATTTAATTGGAATGTATATCAGTTATTAAAAGAATTAAAATTTGTTTCAACTTGTAGTCACTTGTTTTTGGGAAAAATTAAGTTTCATTTTAGTTTTAGAAAAAAAAATTTTTTTTTGCAATTTAACGAATGTTGTGAAATAAAAGAGCCTTGTAAAAATTTTGTATTTTGATTTTTCTTTAATAATCAATAAAATCAAATAGGTTTTTTTTTTTTACATTTATGCTTGTATAATTTCCTGATATAATAAATCTATGATTATAAATACATTTTATAATAGTCACTATAATGGTCAATACATATGTTAAATTTTCAATAAAAGCATATGCACAAGTACATAGATTATAGAAATTACGGAATATTTTTATATTTAAATATTATATTTTTATTTTAAAAGATTTTTGTTCTATTATGACTCGGTAAAAATATTTATTGACTGCATAAGTCACATTATTGTATCATTTTCATCACCTATGCAAGGCATAATTAATATAAGTAATAAATTCTATTTAATAATAAACAGTGGTAATATTAATTTTTGGAATTTAAGATTATTTTTATTGGGAAAAAAAGAATTAATCTGATTATCATTAACTAATTATACTTAAAAATAATGTTTATTTAAAAACTAGAATATCATTATTTCATATTATTAATTACTTGTATATTAAGAGTCAAAATTTTTTGACGTTCTTAAGCTCAATTTATTTAACTTTGAATTTATCTAGCTAGGAATAGCTAACATATTTCAATTAATTTCTCATCTAGTTTTTGTCGAAATTGCAGGACAATGTGGCAAGTGAGCGAAAACATAATTCACGCAACTAGATCGTCCTGCAAGTATTTAAGTGCGCGCGCACATTTACGTTTATTATGTCCTCCTAACCTAGTTAGACATTGGTACGGATTGCTGGGCTACTTCCTAATCGTAAATAATCTCTGTTCTGTGGAGTTTGACACGATTTGAGTCATCTAGATCTTTACTTCAATATATTTTCACTAGGAGAATGGAGTTTCATTCCTTAGTTGAGCGTTACAATCACAACGACTATACAGTCTCTATGAATGGTCGTTAAAGTTTTTTAGACACATATATTTATATGCAATAGTATAGAGAAAATAAAATAGTGGAAATTTTATTGAACAACTTTGGTAAAGAAGAAGAAAAATTTATTAACCATTAGTTTTACTATAATATTAGATTATAATTATATCATTAGAAACAATAATAAGTATATATTCGATGCATTAATAATTGAACGAATTATGAATAAAGTTTGAATTAATTTAATATTATGAAATAAAACATTAATAAATAATTATGTAAAATTTTTCATTACATAATATTTTATTATTTTAGGGTTTAAAATTTCCTTACATATTCGTGAAATTTATGTGTTTTATTATCGTTTCGTATTAACAGCAACTAAGGAAACTATCCTTTTTTACTTCACTGAAAAAGTCCGTTATAAAAAAAAAGAGTTAAAACACGAAAGGAAAATTATTATACTAAAAAAGAATCATTACCCTATTTAAATAATTAACGAATAAGATAATTCAATTTGTTTTTGTTTATATAATGTGTAATTAATATATTATTATTTTGAACAATTGAAAGTTATTCTAGCATGGTATTGACTACATAGTACTGTGCTCTTAATGAATTTTGGGTACATTTTTTCGGAATACATGATTATTTTTAATTCGCTTAGCCAAATAATGATCATTGCATACGGTTCGTTATATTCAAAAGCTTTTGAAATATGCATTTTGAATGTTAAAGTCAGTAACAAAGATGAAGATTACAGCACAAAAAAGATAAAAGAACTAGACAGAATGAAAGAGTATGATAGAGAGAGAAAGAGAATGAAAGATGGAGTAGGTATGAAAACGGTACGCGGAATTCGATTTCTAACTCTGAATTTAGCGTGAGCATCAAGTCAAACGGAGCGAGGAGGAATGAAAAGAAAAGTCGTAAGAAGTCCAGTTAATTTCGATTAGAAGAGTAGAAAAGACAATAACGCCAAAAATAACAGCACGATTACTAGTGACAATGGGACACCATGAAACTCACCATTAAAATCTTAAAGTATTGATTGATAAATACTGTCAAATGGGATCTTTTTTTATAACAGCCATTTTTATTTCATTTATCAAAATAAAAGCTTTATATATATATATATATATATATATGTATAGTGATCTTAATTATTATTTAGAAAATATTTAGTTGTATTAATAATACATTCATATAAAAAAGGCTCTAAAATAATTTAAATTTTTTAACGAAACTTGAATTTTATTTTAATGAAACTTAATATTTTTAAACTATTTTTAATTTGATTTAAAATTAATTTTTCATAAATATTTGTTAATCAAATTTGAAATAAAAATTTTTTAATTAATATTTGTAATTTTCACTTTTATAATATTTATTCATTTCAAAATCTTAATCGACTCCAAGTGTAGATACACGAAACCTAACTAGTACAATAATAATATATTCACAAAATACCACATACATATATAATCTAGTATTTAAATTCTATTATTGTTATTATTTGTATTTGTCTTTTTAATTAATAATAGTTTGTTTTAATCTGACAAAATAATGGTTGCTTGTTTTATTTTTTTTTGTTATTGCTGAATAAATAAAAACTTATTTGAAGATTGGGATAAATTGCTTTTTGTTCGAAACAGCTTTAGAAATATTATAAAACAAAATTATCCTATTAATTATTGATGCATATAAAAGTTGTAATGCTGAATACAAAATTAAAATTAAATATAAAAGTTTAATACAAATCTGCTCAATGAATTATGAAATTTATGTGAACTTACCGAACTTTTTTTTCGTATGAATTTTTTTCATACGCTTATTTGAAAGGAAGTACAATTGTTTGATTAAATTCTTATAATATAATCACTAGCTTCTTTATGCGCTTGATATCACTAAAATTAAAATGAATATAAACTTTGAATATAAGGATATATTTTATTTAAGAAGAAATTATTTATAAAAGTTTTATAAGATTTATATGTTTTATGAAATTTGTTATAAAGATTTCTTATAAAAGAAATTTTTTTATAAAAACAAAGATATATAAATATTGTGAAATTCAATTGCTTTTTGTTTTTCATATTTTAACACGTGTTGTGCTTATTTTAAATCCATGGAAGTTTCAATATACATGTTTTTAAGACAAGAGAATTGCTATAATACTTTATGTGCAAAATTCAAAGATTTGTGCTGCATACTTTACCTGATAACTATTTTTGATTATTCTCTTCAGTTTGTTCGCATTATAAATATAAATCAAGGAATGCAACTAATCCTTGTCGATGATGTCACTCTTGTACATCAAGTTGCAACATACAAATGAAGAGTTAGAGACCGGGTTAATGAATATAAAGTTATCATTCTTTGAAAACTTCTCTAATAGAAATCATTTTTTATTAGAACATTAAAAACATATATTATAAGTAAATAATAACATATATTATAATAAGAATTAACTTCTTCAACATGATGGATCATCCAGTCTTGAGAACTACCAAAAAAATTTTTATACATTTTCTTGGGGCAATATAAATCAAACTTTATTGGAACGTGCTACCATCTTTGTTTATTTTAAAAGAATCAGTGCCAATTAGGAATCGAAACAGTGGCATGTCCAAATTCCATAGTCAAATGAACAATAATAACTAGTTTATCGTAGAAGTATTTGAATGTATGTATTAAAGTGATCTGATACGGTCCTTCTTTGCTTAGAATCAATTAACTAGTTAGATGAACGAAACTTTTATATAGTTACAGAAGTTATACGTCTTTCTACAAAAAAAGGAATATAAATCTATGCTAAAATATAACAATGGCAGTTACTGTGGAAATGAAATTTTATTCAGTAATATATATTTTAAACAACAAGAGATAATTTATTGCATAGTATGCGAGGACACATGTCAAGTGTTAGTAATGAAAAGTTTACGGTTCCTTATATAATAATAAATGGCTATAATTTAATAAAGATTTACAATATTTTATATAAATTTTCATTTCAACTATTAACAATAAATCCAAACAAGTTGAATATAAACGTTATAAATATGATCAAATATAAAAAACGTAACATATATAGTAGTAAATAGTATATATAGAGTATTAAAAATATTATTAATTCTTTAATGAAATTCGTAGCAGTTGACATCAGCAGCAACTGACACATGCATAAAATTTTCTTCGATATACTTTTCTATAGAAACTTATGAATAATAAAAAATTCATAAAATTTGTGTTTACTATTTAACTTTCTTATTTGTAAAACAAGATTACTTAAATCATACACTATACGTGAATAATATAAGTATTTAATTACATTAATTAATTCATCCGCGAATGTATACTACTTTTGCTATACAAATTATTTATAATTTATGATTAAAATTAATATTAAACGATAATTCGAATTAATAATGAAATTTATTTTATTTTTATTTCAGGAGGCAATTCTCAAAAGAAGAGCACATATTATAAATCCTGCACCGTATGGTCGACACAGTGATCATTATGACTTTTCAATTGGTACGACAAATTATTTAATTTGTTTATCTAACATTTATTTATTAATTTATAAACATGTGTTATATTTAATTATATACATATATATATATATATGTGTGTGTTTATTATAAATTTCAAGGTATTTAATTGAGTACTTAAAGTACGCGAAAATATTTCAAACAAATCACATTTATTTATTAATCAAATTAGATGCATTAACGTTAAAAACAATTATGAATTTATGGTTTTCAATCGATTGATTATATATTTTCTATACCCATGATATACTTCAGTTTAGATTTGATGTTTAAAGTTTAAAGTTGATTTTCTCAATTCGACAGTATTTGTTCTTATCATGTCATAGCCTCGCTGTCCTTGATATTTTCTTTTAAATTTTCTTTTAAACTATATTTTTAAGCCTTTAACATCTACAGATGCGCAAAATGAAAAAGGTAATATTAAAGGAAACAAAAGTAAGTAAAAGAAGCTGAGTAAAGTATTTACAGAAACTTCAGCGCTCCCCAGCTTAACTAAGATTATACAATTGCAATTTTATTTTTGCTTATTGTAGATAAAAAAAAACTTGTCTTGTAAATGCAATCTCATTAGGTTTTTTAATGATGATAGATAATAAAGAAACTTTTTCCGTATTAAGAAATTTTTGCATTGAAATTTTGTTCATTATTCATTCCAATTTTCTAGAGCTTTTGCATAAGAAAAGATCATCTATTTCAACAAATTATTTTAATTGCTTATTTCATTTAGATTACAACAATGAATTCATGCGTATAATTTGAATTAACCAACAAGTTATTATTAATATATCTGCAGTTTTGACATATATACTTTTATAATTAATTAAACATTTATACAATTAATTAAGTAACTTTGTGAGTGTAAGAAAGATATTTACTCTATTTGGAAATTCTTCAATTCCGAAATTATAGGATATATTATAAACTTTTAAAAATCTGCATACTTATATCGTTTTAATATCACAATCGAGAGATTATTTTTAAACTATATAAGTTTTTGAATAATATAACTTATGGATTAATATTGAGAATGAACTTTCGAGGATACGATTAAGGTATAAGGAGTTGTTATGTTCAAGAAGTACAACAAAGATGTAAGTGACGTAGCCGGTAAAGTCAATTTTTTCGTTAAGTATTGCATTTACTATCTTGGTCTCGCGCTATCAAAAATGTTATTACAGTTGCTGTTTCCACCAGCATTTTTTGCAAAAATAAACTTAAATTCACTACAACCATTAATATATAAGAAGATAAATAAGTTTTTAACATGCATATAATAGATAAAAACTATATTGTGTGTTGATGAACAAAGTTTTTGTATAACAAAATTTTTACAATAATTTATAAAAAGTAGTATAATAAGACTTTCGTTTCACGGATAAATTTACATTTGCAATGTATAAAAATATCATAGTAGTAATTTAATATTTAAATAAATTTTTCAAAAATTCATTAGAATGCTTTATTTAAAGTACTAGCGAATGCCAATTCTTATTAAAAAGTTAATGATCTCATTTTATATATCATCTTATCATTTCTTCTTTGAATACATTTCTTTTTTTAATAATTAAAACTCAATTATGAATTAATTTTTTATTTTTGTTGACATATGAATTTATTACACGAATCATAAATTAATTTTTCGTGTGTAGAATCACCGTCCAGACTCTTGAGATGAATTCCCTATCGTCATGGCACCAATACTTCCCAAATTGTTGAAATTTATAGCTATTGATTAACTTCAAAGCTTTCTTGAGATTATGTAACTATGATGTCGAATGTTGGCGTATATTTGGCACATTAAATTAATATAAGATTAAATTATAATTTAATTTCCTTAATGCAGTTCAAATATTTTCAGAAAAGAAAATATATGAATTGTAAAATTCTTTATAAACATGATATTTCTATGTATCTTATATTCAATATAAAAGTTTAATTTATTTCAATAATATATACTATTTCAACTATTATTATTATTTTTTTTTTTTTTTTTTTGCAATAGTACTAACCACGTAACAACAGTTTACTTTATTTTTACATATTTTGAACTTCATGATATATAATATTAGAAATTTATACATAATTAATACACTCTAATATTAGTTAAAATAAATATATATATATATATATATATATATATATATATATATATATATTTATTTTAACTAATATCTTTTGAAGTGAAATATTTTAATGTGCTTGATAGAACTAAAAAATAATATTTTAATGTTTCTTACGAATTTTAACAGATTTGAGCAAACCTCCGTGTGAAGCCAGTAGTCTACCAGTTTTAACACGCGACCGAATTGACATTGAGGATGTCGAATCTAGAAAAAGGTAAGATCAGTTAAAGTATAATTATAGTGAATATGTTTCTTTCGTATAAATGAATTAATATAATAGAATAATAATTATACGTGAGAATGATATCATTCCAAATATACTCATCTGAATGAATTTATTACAGAAATATCTCTTTCCATTTTTATATGTTAAGGATCATGGAATCATAGATTGTGATTTATTTATTAGTTACTTTAGAATAATTACGAAACAATTATGCTAATGCAGTGGCAGATTAGTTATAAAATATATTGTACATGTATTTTTGTAATTTTTAAGGAAAATTAATACCGATTCTGTATAGCATTATTATTTTTGATTTTATATCACTTTAAGAAAAGAAATTAAAAGTTTGAAATAGAAATTAAAAAAGAATCATATTTATTATATTAATTAAGATGTATATTTATAACATTTTCTATTTATTTGAAAAATTTTTATTTAGCAAGCATCAATTTTTCACACATATTAGAAAATTTTAGCTATTCGTATTATTTCTTTTAATTATCATGTTTTTGATCAATTATTATAAAATTTGAGCCGATCTGTGCATAAGAAATTTCAAAGATCTATAATTAAATAAACTGTGATTGATATATTCCTATAGAACTGTATTTTATCAGGTAATTGAATAGTTAGTATATTATAACATTCAATGTTTATACTGTCATATCATTTATTTTTATTTTTAACTATAATCAATCTTGCTAATATCCGTTTACTACATTGTATTATTCACAATTATTATTTTCACACATGCCCAATATATATTAAAGAGGATATTTTCATTAAATTACTACTTATTGATTAATCACGTTACATATAACAAAATTCAAAAAGTTTGTAGTCTTTATATAATTACATTTATATTTTGTTAACATTTAATTATATTATTGTAATGATACCAATCCACAACGCAATGGATATGCAAAAAAACTTTAAAAATTATTTATCTAATAATTATATATATTTTAAATTGCATGTTTATTATAATATATTACCTAATAACAATTTTTTTACATTTTTTAATTAGATATTTAAATATAAGTGAATTAAAAATAATTGAGAATGAAATGATGTGAATGCATCAATTGATCATGTTGTTACTTCACATTTGGTCTACAATAATATTGAATTAGCTTAACATATTTTCGATTTAATACACGTATTTCCAAATCATATACAAATTGATACAGTTTAAGTTACAGTTGATAATTTAATTCTTAAAGATAAATAAAATTGATGATAGAAGTAACTCTATGTTATCAGATTAAATGAAAGTTTCATCAACAAATTTAAACAAATTTAAATAATTTTATTTTATAAGATTGAAGAATTTATTTACGTTGCATAAAAACGTTACCAGTTTTGTCCATATTTGTATAATATAATTTGCATGACATAATATGAAATATACAAAAGTGTCATATCGAACATTTTATTGACTTAGAATTCAATGAGTTAATAAGTTGATTAAACGGCTCTAAACAACTGGTATATTTAATCAATATACGATGTCTCAATTAATTATCAATGTATTTTGGGTTTATCATTTAGAATTTATTATAATAGGCCTTCGCATTGTCAATTAAATACAAATAACAACTGCATGAATCCCAATTATTCATTTTATTAGTATATCATATTTATTTAAATACATTATTTCGTTTAATTTTTAGATTCGAAGTAACTATCGTAGAATTACTGTGCTTGCAAATTACCTAGTGTACTCATAATTTTCTTTATTTCTGTACACGATATTCCCTATGAATTATTGATTAGAAAGACTTCGAATTCATTCAAAATTGTTCAATTATATCACTTTCTATCCTCTGGACATTATTAATCATTCTATTTCCAACTTTTAATTATAAGTTAGTAATGACTTGGTATCAAATAATTTATATTGCATCAAAGACTATAGTTTTATTCACTTTCCATTATAATAATCTTCAATCTTATAATAATAATTAAAAACAATTAATAATTCTGAAAAGAAAATATTGCGCTTATATAATTACTATTTATCGAGTTTTAAGCAAAGATTTCTAATAATATGATAAATGTATTAAAGAAATTCAAGTATGCTGCACTTGTATGCCATACGTAAGTATAGGCGGGATTAACAAAAGAAGACTATCGTGGAATCTTTAATCTGTAAAAATCATTTCGGAATTATGGATTTCTTTATAAAAATGTAATAATTCAATAGACATTTTGAACGAATAGAAATTAAATAATATCAATGATGTAATTTTATTTCAGTATCTTATCTATTTTTATAATTAATTGTTATTATTATCATTCAATGCTAAAATGCATTAAAAAAAAATTACCAGAAGAATCCTGCCCGTCTCAAAGAATTTTCAGAATACGTTTGCATATATATTCTGAGTAATATAAATAATTCTTAAACTAATATATTTTATTGATAACTTTCATGTAGATTAATACAGGTAAAAACTTAAATAATAAAATAGGAAAAATTAGTTCAAATAAGATATAATATTATCGAACAGTTTCAAGTTGTAATATAACTTTTACACGTAAGATGTTCAATTTTATGTTTTAATTAAAATTTTAAATAGGCAGATTTTTAATTTAAGGATTGAACAGTAAAAGAAAGATCATAAATAATGATTTCTTATCTGTGAAATGCAAATAATAATCGTGATATAACAATTAAAAAAATAGTGTAAGTTGAACATTTACAGTTTTCTTAACCTTTATTATATAATTAGAAAATTTCTATATACTCATTTTGAAATAACCACTATAATTATATTTACGATTATAATTAATTAGAAATGTTTTATTCAATAGAAATCTATTACTAATATTTTTTCGAAGTTCTATTCATGTATTCAAATATTTGATTTACTGTTATGGTAATAACCTTATCTGTTAAATTTGGTTTCATAAGTCTTTCTTATGGTCATTGTTTTTTGTTTTCTTACATCTTAGGATAAATACCAAAACTGACAGTCAAAAGTATTTTCAGATTTGGTAAGATATATTGATGATTTAATATTATTAAGTTTTAACTCAGTTGAAGTTTTTATATGATTATAGATGGGATCTCTTTCAAGAACTTTAGCAACCGCATCTGTTAATAAAAAAATAGTGTTTTCTGTTTATAAATACTTTTTTGTTATTTAATGATATAATTTCTTATAATAATTTGATCGAAAATTAAACGTACATGATTTATTTTCTTTACGTATTGGTATGTTTAAAAGGAAGTTTTTCTTAATAATAAAATTTAACATACCTGTCGCGCCTTATATGTAAATTGTTGAAAACAATATCCCTTGTTTGTGTCATAAGTAAATACAAAACAACTGTATGTGAGAAGTTCTATAATATCGGATCAGTTAGTAATCTATCTTCTTTTGCGTTTGAAGTTTGCTTGGATTTCAATAGGAAATGCGATTTTTACTTGAGTGTACAGAAGATCGAATAAAGTTGGAATCTTGAAGTGGAGATAGAACTTTTAATGGTTTAAGATTACAGGAGCCACTCTCTTTTCCTATATTTATCTTTTATCTTGATTTATATGTATGACTTTATGCACATTTTAATTTTTACTAAGTCGATATGAAAATAAGTACATGTAGACATGTAAAAACTTCTAATTTGGGAGATATATTTGTAAATTACAGCGTAGTTTATACTTGAAATATTTTAATATTATTAAACTGTATTTTATAAAAAATCAGTACCATTTAACAATAGCAGTGCTGTTACTACTTTATGAATGAATTAAATATTTCTAATATTCAACTCAAACAATTACAATAATTTAAAATAATTACTTTACAAAAGTTTTATGTTAAAATATATTTCACTTATTATTTCAGAAAATTTTCGTTATTGTTTATGTTTATTATTTTTATTATCTCTCAAAATATTTACAAATCTTTACTTATTTATAATAGAAAATAATAGAAAATATTTCAGTAGCAGTGCAAGTTACAATAGATCGAATTATTTACGTAACAGTAAATAATTCCGACCACGTAAAGCTAAGTTCAGACTTGATTCATAATGTATTTTATAAAAACTTTTCTCTTAGCTTCTGAAATACGTTTTCTGTTTGGATTAAATAAATATCTGAAATTTAAAAAATTATTATTTAATGAGTATTTTTTTAATGATTCTCCGAAGCTTACTTTGAAGCTTTTTTGACACAAAAGCATAAACATTAATTATAGTTCATTCAATTTATAACATTTTCAGTACTATGCATTTTAAAAAGTTATATTCATGAAAATTAATAAATGTCCGATTTATGCTTTTAAAGTTAAATAAATTATTCAAAAGATTAATTGTCTACTTTATATTTCGTCAATTTCTTTCTTCAATTATTTTTATTTTCTCTTAATAGACAAAATTGTGATGGAAGATAAATGCATAATTTTTTCACGACCATTCCTATTCGCTTTCTGTAACGTAAAATTATTTACTGATAATTTATAATCATAGATATACAAATATACCTTCCATTATTCTATTTCATATGTTTTATTCCGTTTATTTGTACCTTGAATCAACAACTTTTCGACAGATATTACAAATTTTAATAATTATCACTTTGTTAAGCAAGGAATTTTTAATATTATTATTTATTTGTATAAACTATAATCATCTATTATTTATATAGTAATGTATTTAATATTTCATTGATGATTATGTCTTTCAAATAGGATTTTGCTTTTACATTATGTTACTCAATTTTTCTTTTTTTTAAATTATCCTTATGTTTTTGGATTTTTTCTATTGATTTTCAAATTTTTTATTTTATTAATTTACTAATTTGTAATTAATTCGGTCTATATCTTATTATATTTTCCTTTTATATTATATTATCTTTTATATAATTTTTTTTCTAATTTTTCTAATTCTTCGCTTTTTTTCAACTTTTTGACCTTGACATTTTAAAATTTGTATGACGAATTTTTTTCATTCATTATTGGATTTAATTTTCTATTATTTCATATAATTTTTTCTACTATCTAAGATTCTCTTCATTTATTTATTGACTTACTTGTTAACTTTTTACTTTGACAAGATGTTTAACAATCATTTAACTTGGATTTTTTATTATTTCAGATCTCTTTCTTGCTTCTATTTTATTTTCGTTATATTGTATTATGTTCGTCAATATCTT